AAACATGTGGTTGCGTTCAGCCCTCCCAAGACCCTGTCCACGTCCTCGGGAGCAACAGAATCAAACTCCTCCCATACAACCGTCTCAAGACCTGCTTCCGTCTCCTCCCCCTGGGCCAGCCAGTCGGAGTCCAAGCCTTCCCGGATCCGCGCGACTTTGTCATACAGATATTGCGCAAAGTCCTCGGCCCTCCCCTCCATTGCTCTCATTCATTATAGAATTCAGGAATGGAATGATGATTTAAGTTGTAGGAAAAAAGATTTCAATTGAATAATATAAACAAAATTCTAACAGTAAAAGCAGTTGGAAAGTGGAGAGTAGAGAGACTGGGGGTGGGGAGATATAGGCAGCTGTGTATCAGGGATACTTTAATTGAATTCCTGCACTGAACAGAAGGTTGAACTCAAATGTACCACATCTACCTTTCTTGAGAAAATGGATGAACATGAGAACTGCACTTTATTAGATCAAATATCTGTCCAACTTACTTCTACCTGTTATCAGCCAACTGCTAGATCTTTGAAACTTTCAGTTTGCTGGAGCAGTAACATTTTCAGAAAACTAATAATTGGTACAGGCCTCAGATAAAAAAAAGTCCCTTACCTAAGGTTCCTTCTTCTATAAGTAATTTCTTAGCTTTGAATGCCAAGATGCACCCCTTTGGGATAGTGATTATTTTCTTCCTATCTCTAGCACCCTAAAAGACAAAATAAAATCTTGGATCAGCTGTATGGGATACAATAATTTGGTAAGAGGAGATGCATTTTTCTTTTCTCCAATTTCATGATAATTCACTATTCAGATTAGACCTTCAGGCTCAGTTTGATGTAGGCTTTATGAAAGATGCTGCTTTCCACTTTGCTGGATTCCCCAAACGTTGTCATTTCCACAGCTTCTGCTGATTCAGTGATCACGTATAAGTTCCTCTGGAGTTTCTTTGATTGTTTAATAAATGGATGTTCATTGTTGATTTTTCTGAAAAAAGAATACATGTATACCTCAATAAAGTAGACTGCAATCCAGTTTATAACTTTTTTGGGGAAAAAATCCCAATCCAATAAATATAGTTTCAGTTGCAATAAGTAATCAATTTCCTTCCAATTTCCTATGTACATTTCTGAGGTATGTTCTTTACCATATTTGATTAATGCTTAGAAAGAAATAAATCTTGTTGCAGTGAAAGATTTATAACTATTTAGAGGCTTTAAATTATAATACATTTTTGGGAAATACTGCTTTAATTCTATTGGCTTCCACCTAGTGGTGAGTTGTATAAATAGTGGTTAAGCAGCAGTTAGGGTTGCTTCTGTTGTTAACTGAATAAAGAGTTGTTTGCACCATTCGCCTCGTCAATGCCTCACCGAACTTGAAACATAACAGTGGCAACAAAGGTGGGATGTGCTGCGAAGAAAGAAAGAGCCAGAAATCAGTAGGGGTAAGACCAGGCCTCAGCGCCCTGGTAGGAACTACGTTCCCCCCTCTACCTGCCAGCAAGCAACGCTGGAGGCCAATGCCCTGAGGGACCTGTCCCCAGGACCAACAATAGAAGCCTTAGCAGCACAAGGTATTGCGAGATCAGAGACAACTCACCATGGCCAAGCTCGGAAAATTGTCGGAGTTTGATGTGTCACATACCAAGAGGTGGAGCTCTTACATTTAGCGAGCTGAGAACTACCTGAGAGCTAACCAAGTTAGCAAAGACAGCTTAAACACCGCAACGCTATGCTACTTTCGATATTGCCGAAAACCTGGTCGCACCAGCCGCACTTGAATCGGTCGCCTACGCTGAGCTCAAGAAAATGCTCAAGGAACATTTCGAGCCAAAGCTCTCAGTCATTGCCTGGAGACACGCATTCGAACAAAGGAAGCAGCAACCAGGCGAATTTGCTGCTGAATTCATAGCCGCTCTTCGACAGGTGTCCCGGCTTTGCAATTTCACAGACCTCGAAGAGAGACTGAGAGACCGTTTGGTGTGTGGGTTGAGGAACAGAGACCTTCAGCAGAAGTTGTTCGCAAAAGAGTCCTTGTCATTCCAAGATGCTCTAAAGAAGATTATGGCTGAAGAAGCCGCAGGGGGAGCCCTCCAAGAATACTCCCTGCCCAGAAGCCATCCACCACGAGGACGCGGAAAGAAGCAAGGCCTCCAACATAGACAATGAAATCGATCTGCTGCAGAAGCCACCAGCAAGGGTTCAGCGGCCACTTGACAAGGAAGTTCCCTTCACTTGATGTATGGGCTGTGGAGGCCAATACAGACGCTTGGAGTGCAGGTTCCGCACAGCAACGTGCCGGGCATGCGGCAAACAAGGCCACATCACCGCCATCTGTAAAGGTCACCAGAAGAACAGTCCACAAGAAGAATTTCCCAGGAAAGATACCGGGGCCCCGGGGCAACACAGAGTTTGTTTTTGTGCCAGTAGGAGGAGCGTGTTTAGAACAGGTGCCCATCGCCCCATGAAGGAAAAGCTAAGACTCAAAGTCATGACTTCATGGAGTCCCATGCAACATGGAACTAGACAGAGGGTCAACCCTGTCTATAATTTCCCAAGGAACCTTTAATCACATTTGCAGTCGCAGCAGCAAATGAGTTAAACTCAAGCCACCGAATCTCCTGTTAACTGATTTCCAAAACTCCCGTGTAGCAGTTAAAGGAGAAGCCACACTCAAAGTACAGTTCAAAGAGTTTGAGGGTTCCCTGGACGTCGTAGTAGTTGAAGGCCACTGCATAAGCCTCATTGGGCTAGACTGGTTTGATGCATTGGGCATCCACGTGACTGGTATACACATAATGCAAACAACGGACCTGTTGTTAGTTTGCCAAGAGTTTGCTGATGTGTTCAGCCATGACTTAGGGAAGTACAAGGGTCCTCCAATTACCCTCCACCTCGATGCTACTGTAACCCCAGTAAGGATCAAGCCTCATAAAGTGCCTTTTGCCCTCAAACCTAAAATCGATGCAGAGCTGGACAAGCTGGTGCAACAAGGTATGTTGCAGCCAGTAGAGAACAGTAGGTGGGAAACCCCCATAGTTACACCACTTAAGGCCAATGGGGAGGTGCGCATATGCACAGAATATAAGTGCACTATTAGTAGAGCGCTTCAACAACATTCATATCGGGTGCCTGTAGTCAGCCACATTCTGGCGTCACTACAGGGAGGTCGCATATTTGCCAAATTGGATTTGGCTCAAGCCTACAAGCAACTGCCCGTGGATGATGCCATGGCAGAAGCTCAAGCTATAGTTACCCACAGGGGAGCTTTCAGGGTGAAGCACCTACGATTCAGGGTCAGGGTCGCCCCAGGGTTTTTCCAGGGCGTGATGGAGCGCACACTCAAGGGTATTCCAGGCGTATGTCCATATTTCGATGATGTCCTCATAGCTGTGGAATCAGTAGAGAAATTGGCAGAATGGCTCAAGGCCATCCTTCAGCGTTTCCGCGAAGCGGGGCTGAAATTAAAAAAGGAGAAATGCAAAATTGGGGTAGTTTCAACCGAATTCCTTGGTTTTCACATAGATGCCGCAGGCATTCACCCTGCTGAATCCAAGCTTCAAGCAATTCAACAGGCTCCCCGCTCTAAGACAACGGGGGAGCTCCAGGCATTCTTAGGCCTGCTCAACTTTTATCATGCCTTCCTTCCGAACAAGGCCGCAGTGGCAGAGCCGTTACACCGGCTCTTGGACAAAAAAGCACAGTGGCAGTGGATCAGTGTCCATGAGAAAAGTTTTTCAGCAGTCCAATCACTGCTGTCTTCAAACTTGGTTCTGGTGCATTTCAATGAACAGCTGTCCATTTGCATCGCCTGTGATGCGTCCCCGTATGGGATTGGGGCTGTGTTGAGCCATTTAATGGCTGACGGGAGCCAAGCTCCCATAACTTATTATTCAAGGACTCTGTCCTCAGCAGAACGCAACTATGCCCAAATAGATAAAGAGGCATTGGCCATCATGGCTGGTATCAAGAAATTTCATGACTATTTGTATGGTTGTCCATTCACGGTCTTTACGGACCACAAGCCACTTCTGGGTCTGTTCATGACAGACAAACAAACATCTCAGATACTATCTCCTAGGATGCTGAGGTGGTCCATTTTTCTTTCAGCTTATAGTTACTGTCTAATTCACAAACTGGGCAGGGAAATGGGCCACGCGGATGGCCTTAGTAGGCTGCCCCTGCCGCAATCAGAGCCAGACCCTGTTCCGGCTGCTCGCATCCTGGCTATCCAGGATATGCCGGAGTCTCCCCTTAATGCAAGGGACGTGGCTGCCGAAACAGCTTTGGACAAGATGCTGAGCCGTGTGTTGAATTGGGTGCTCACAGGATGGCCGGACGTGAGTCTGGGGCCTAATTTTCAGAGCTTCTCTAGGAGGAAGGACGAGCTATCAGCTCACAAAGGCTGCATTTTGTGGGAGAGTCAGGTCATAGTTCCATACTCCTTAGGGGCTCAGGGTACTAGAGTCTCTGCATGAGGGACATCCGGGAATAGTCCGGATGAAGGCACTCGCGAGAAGCTATCTGTGGTGGCCAGGGTTGGATAAAGATATTGAGGCCCAAGTACACAGCTACATTTGCCATTGCTACTGCTACATTTGCCAGCAATCCTGACCAGAAATGCCACAAGCCCCCATACATCGATGGGAAACCACACAAGCCCCATGGTCAAGAATCCACATTGACTTTGCGGAACCCTTTCAGAGACAGCTGTTCCTTATTGTGGTGAATGGTCACTCTAAGTGGTTAGAAGTCACACCTGTCCCAACTATGACTGCTGCCAGGACCATCCAGGAACTGCGCAGGATCTTTGCCACACACGGGTTACCCGACGTGATAGTCTCAGACAATGGGGCTCAGTTTACCGCTGCAAAATTCCAGTCCTTTTTAAGGGCTAACATGATCAGGCACGCCACTTCAGCCCCCTTTCATCCGGCCTCTAACGGCCAAGCCGAACGCATGGTCCGAACGACCAAAGAATCCTTAAAAAGGATCGTAACCGGCAACTGGCATAGACTAGCAGACTTCTTACTCTGCCAACGGACGACTCCCTGCACTTCTACGGGCAGAAGCCCAGCAGAATTAAGATGGGGCCGTTGCTTAATCACTAAGCTGGATTGTCTGCATCCAGACCGAGTGGCATCAGAATCAGCACAGCCAACGCCACTGCGGAGATTGCAGGTTGGCGACCCGGTTTGGGTTCGAAACTATGGGCCAGTGGCACTGTGGGTGGTAGCTGTGGTTGGTAAGGTGTCAGGGCCATTCTCTTACGAAGTGGTCCTGTTAGACAGTCGCGCGCTACAAAGGCACATTGACCAACTGTGCAGGAGGCTAGTGACGCTCATGACTCTCAAGAAAGTCAAATTTAGGGGCATCACAACAGCAGCTGTGCATCGGAGTCTGCAAGCGAGGGTGAGACTCCCAGGAGAGGGGACGGGGCACTAGCGGACGGTGAGTTGGCCCCGAACACAGGGACTGCATCCACTGAGCAATTCTGGCAGATGGCTCCAATTTCCAGCCCAGTGGAAACTGTTCCACCTATGGACACTGGCTCCGGTCTACCCGGACAGACCAGCCACAGAGACTCTGGTCTACCCGTAGCAAAAGAGTCCCAAAGCCCCGGTCTACCCAGCCTGGCAGGCGAGCTAGTAGACCGGGAGCCTACAGCGGTGCCAAGGTGCTCGCAATGGTCAAGAAGGCCACCAAAATATTTACAGGACTATGTTCAATATTTGTCATTATGAACTATCTAGGGGGAAGGGGTGTTATGTATTGAGGTTAATTACTTGGAAACTGTTGGAAACGGTCTAACGGCTGCACCTGTTTAAGCTCCAGACTGACTGTCTACATGTTAATTAGCTTGTCTTTAAGCGGGAAATACTGCTTTAATTCTATTGGCTGCCGCCTAGCGGTGAGCTGTATAAATAGTGGTTAAGCAGCAGGTAGGGCTGCTTCTGTTGTTAACTAAATAAAGAGTTGTTGTTTGCACCATTCGCCTCGTCAATGCCTCACCAAACTTGAAACATAACAGTAGTGGTGATAGATGCACCACTGGAAGACCTGAAAGATTAGGCTGGGTTCAGATTCTCCTTGAGAAAAGCTATATGATTGCTGAAAATTAAAACTAATTGAGGTCAATTAATCAGAGACATTAAGTAAAGTACTGTTTTAAAAGAATGGAGAACTTGAATATTGAGAATGTTAAATGTGGCTGGAATCTATTTTTAATTTTGTTGTTTATGTTATACTTACTTTTCTTTAATAAAGGAATCAAGGTCTTGGATTGGAATATGTATCTTTTTCACCTTTACAGACCTTTCATGAGAAATGCTGACAGTGCTAGTTACTTCAGTGTCAGTAACTCCACTAATATTCCCTTTCAGTATTCCATCTATAGTGTCTTCAAGGATGAATAACTCTGAATTTTTGCAAACTAGAGAACAAATATTGAGAAAAACCACAATATTAGAAGTACTATAGAAACACATAGAAATAGCAGACAACTATTTTAATGAGAGAACAGCAATCCTGGCAGCAAAGGATTCTGTTGACATTGAATCAAACTGATTCTAAATCAGCATTATCTAATTAACTACAGTTCATACTAAGAGTTCCAGAAAGTAGGAAATACTTCTACTTGCAAGTTGGTATATTTTCAGTTTAAACCTCTTGACATCTCTTGAAAAGTGCCTGTGAAAGGTGAGGGTGTGCTCTAGAACTTGCTTCATCTTTGCTGTGAATAATAGATAGTTCCACATCAGCTACATATATGTTCCCCTATGCTTAAGAGAAAAAATATTGCAACTCTACTTTGACAAAGAACTGTTGAGACACACGGAGTATTTTGCAACTTCTGATAGTAGATATCAAGGGCTATGTTTCATCTTGTGATACTTGTCACCAAGTCAGGACTGTTTCTAGAAAGACTGCTAGTTTATTTCAGCCTCAACCTCTTTCTTTGGAATTATGTAATTTTATTCTAGTTTTAAGTTTTAATTAGTGATCTTTCCCCTTTGCAGAACTTTTTGTGGTAGTGAATTCATTTGCCAAGATAACAGTCTTTTATTCTTTGCAATGGCCTTCTCAGGAGACTTCTATTTTTTCTAGATCATTTTTTAATATAGAAAACCATGTTACAATAAACCAAAGACAACTTTGGATACAAACTATGTTTCAGAATGTGCCTTTCCCACAGTCATGAGGCTGCATTTTGGGTGCTTGGCAACCGGCATGCATTTATGATCATTTGCAGTGCCACCTGGTCACATGATTTACAAATTTACATTTTTTTTCTGGAAACTAACATTTACTTCTAGTTTCTAGACAAAAAACATCCCATAGTAAACAATGGGTTCATTTAATGACTGTAGGGTTCACTTAAGGATTGCTATAAAAATGATCATGTGATAGACTATGATGTTCATGACTTACAACTGTAATTATGAGCTCAGTTATAGTTGTAAGTCAAGGACTACATGTATTGCCACTTATAAAATTTGCTTCTACAGCAAAAATAATACAGTATATTCCTCCATAGACATTTCTCCTTTTTGGGCAACCTGTGGCTACCATTCTTGAATTTCGCACTCCAGAACTCCTTCATCTACTATTTCTTGTGCCTTGTATTTTTTGCAGAAGTCCAACTGTTAAAAGAATTGTTACTTAGCAACAGCCACATGTAACTGTAGCACAGAAGCATATAGGCAAGAGATTGACAGGTACAGGTAAGACTTCAAATTATGACCACAGTTGGAAAGAATGTCTGTTTTTAAGCAAGGCAGTTAAATGAGTTGCATTTTGTTACCTTTTTTGTCATGCTGTTAAGTGAATCTGGAGTCCCCCATTGATTTTGCTTGTTAGAAGCCCCTTGGGAAGTTCACCAATGACAATCACATGATCCTAGGATGCTGCAACTGTTGTAAATACATGCTGGTTGCCAAACACTGGAATTTTGATCACATGACTGTGGGGAAGCTGCAATGATTGTGAAAGGACCAATTGTGAGTCACTTTTTTCAGTGTTGTTGAACTTCCAACAGTCATTAAATGAATGATTATAAGTCAATGGGAAATGTAGTGGGACATTTAGTGGGGAAAATGCCCACTTACATAAGAAATCAAAATATTTGAAGATAAATGCAGTAAAGTATCTTATTGGCATGCACTGGGCCCCTGGCTGAAAAATTGCAAAAGAGGTCTGAACTATGCAAGGCTATAGGTTATATACTCCAAGAACTCTTCCACTGGAATGATAAAGAAGGTAATCCAACTGTGATCTTTGTAACAGGTATGTAAGCTTACTATGGGTTTCTAGGCACCTATATATTCTTTTCTTCTCAAGGGACTTTAATCTACTCTAATTATAGATATTAACACTGTGTACTGTAAATAGTGGCATTGCTTATGCTCCTTTACACCAAAAGTGAGACCACAGCTTGGTTCTGGTTATCTGTCTCTTTTCTCTCTAGGGTTATCAAGTGGATTATTTTGACTGTATTTCTATGCCTTTTCTCATGCTTAAGGTATGCACTACTCCACACAAGACAAGCCTCCACACAAGATTTCTGTGAGGAATTTGGTCTTGTCCCTTAGGCTCCAAATCTATTCCTCCACTTCCTTGTACATAGAAAAAAAGAATATGAGGATTGTAATCTGGATTTTAGATGCAGGAGGAGATGTTTTGGATATCTGATTCATTGGAAGAGCTGCCCTGAATTTGGGAGAGCAAAAGTCCATATGGCCCATATCTTATACGCAAGTTTTATCTGAAATTTCCTCATAAGTCACATCCCTATGATCAGTCAACACTATCCATGGACATTGATGGGAATATGCCTGAAGTTAGCTCCCATGGCACCTTGCCAAGTGGTTTCTTTGCACTCAGGATGGGAAATGATTCTAAGGTGGTGTAAAAGAGTATGGATATGGCCTTGAAGAAAATATTAAACAGCTTTTAGGTAACCAGAAAAAGATTACAGATAAAAACTATCTCTTTTTTTCCTGATTGCCAGTGCATAAGTTTTATAATGCATCTATACATGTCTGATTGGATTCAATTCTAGCCCTGGATTAACATTGTTCAAGCTATTAGTGGACTTCCGGTGGTGACAGGCTGCATCGCATGGCGGCTTTTGTTAGCCGCCCGCCTGGGAGCGCGTCAAAGCCTGAAGAGACAGCGTTCGTTAGCTGTCTCCCGGCTCGGAACCTCGTCCCTCGGGCAAAGAGGGGGGGGTGAGCAAGTCCGGATAGGGCTCGAGCTTCCTCTCACCCCGGTTTTGTTATAATCGGGGTTGAGAGATGCTAGCTCGCCCGGAGTCTGGACGGTCTCCACGCCCTATGGCGCCTTTGCTCCTCTTTTGGAGCGAAGCCAGATGCAGCTCCCACCTCTGCTGTTGGAAGGTATTTGGACTTAAATTTTAAGCAGACGGAACTAAGCAGGAGGTTCGGATTTACAGTGGATTGTTTCTGACTTTGACTCTGATATATACTAACATCTTCTTTATTTTGTGGTGATTTAAAGTGAGAGAAAATGGCTGCGGACTTGCCGTTTCTCTGGAATACTTTTGTTTGTTTTTTTTTACTTTCACTTTTTTTTTTTGGCTACTGACTGGAAAGAGATACATTGTTACTTCTCCGGCTCTGGAAAGTTTTAGCCGCAATGAATTTGTGGTATATACTGGCTGGTGATATTAATATTGCTATCCTTTTGAATTAATGAAGTATATTTAAAGAAATTTGGAAGTTTTAAAATGGCTGCGGATTTGAGGGAAAAAAAAGAGAGCGAGAAAGAAATTTTTCTTTTTGGTTGCTGAGTGGATCTCATTGAAAATGTCTTTACTTTTTATTATGGATGACCTACAGAATTTTTTGATGCAAGCAGTCAAGCAATACAGTGTGGAAGTTAAAAATCTATGTCTTAAGAGATTGGAAGAATTATATGGAACTGTGACATCTGCTCTCCAGAAGTTTATAGTTTCAGATTTCATTGAGCAACGGGTGGATAAAGTATGTGAAGAGGTTGAAGAAGATGTCTTGGAAATATTCCAAAATGATATGCCATGTTATGGAGATTTGGAAAGTGAAAAGTTTGAAAAGTTGGGAAAAGAAGCGGTAATAGACTTGGTTATGGTTTGGGTGTGCCTCCCTAG